CTCCAGAGAGATTGACATCTCTGGGCTCCTGATGGGAGGAGACAAGGGGAAAGGTTTTGTTTTTTTTTGAGTCGAAGTCTCACCCCTTTGCCTGGGCTAGAGTGCAGTGGCCACGCTCACAGCCACCCCAGTGCCTCAGCCTTTTGAGTAGCTGAAACTACAGGTGCACGCTACCATGCTTGGCTAGTTTTTTATTTTATTGTAGAGACAGGGCTTGTCAAGTTGCCTGGACTGGTCTCGAACCCGCGGGCTCAGGCAATCCACTGATCTCGACCTCCCAAAGTGCTGGGATTACAGGCTGAGTCACCGAGCCGGCAGGGAAAGGTCTTTTCTGGGTCATATTGTTTTCCCGCAGACCTGCCAGACGTTTCCAATCCACAAATTCCTTAGCTAACAGGTGGTCTTATTATCATTTCTATGGCTTTGGTCAATTAAGAGGTGGTATTTGAAGTCTTCCCCCTTGACCGAGAAACTCAAAGTTTCTTAGGGATTATGTTAAACCATGAATTGAAAGGTTGGGCCATCCTATTCTTGCACCTGATGGAGTTTTCTTCTGATTTGCTGAGGGGGTGGGGTGGGCTGCTAGCTTGACTTGCAGCAAAATGTAATTTTAAAAAAATGTCTGAACTGGGCATGGTGGTTCATGCCTGTAATCCCAGCACTTTGGGAGATGGAGGTGAGAGGATTGCCTGAGCTCGGGGATTCAAGACCAGTCTGAGCAACATGGTGAGACCTCATCTCTACAATAAATAAAAAATTAGCTGGGGGTGGTGGTGCATGCCTGTGGTTCCATACTTGGAAGGATTGCCTAAGCCCAGCAGGTTGAGGCTGTGAGCATGCCACTGCACTCCAGCATGGGTGAGAATGAGACTCCCAAAAAAAAAAAAAAAAAGAAAATGTCTGAATGCTTCCTAAAACCTACCTATGGGAAATTTATCTATCTATGTCTAACCTGTGCTAGTTACTCTGCCTCAGAGAAGTTGCTGCAAATAGAACATAAAATGTAGGTGTCGACAGGATTTCACAGGGTCCACAGGAGAAGCTGAAGGCTGGTCCCAGGTCTCCATTTGATAACCTCTGTGGGGTTTATAGTGGGACTTAAGATGAAACCCCATGAGCATCTCTCGGGGACTTTGGACTGGAGAACTTCCACCTGAGCGCCACGTGCTGCCTTACTATGGAATGTTAAAGACATAAAATGACCTTTTTTTTTGAATTGGAGTCTTGCCAAGTTGCCCAGGCTGGTCTTGAACCTGTGGGCTCAGGCAATCCTCTTACCTTGGCCTCCCCAAGTGCTAGGATTATAGATGTGAGCCACTGTGACCTGACTTTTTTAAAAAAATTTTTTTCTTTTTTAATTTTAAAGAGGTGGGGTATAATTCAGGGTTAGGTATACAAATGTTCATTATACAGGTACCCTTGTTGATCAAGTGTGCATAAAATAATCTTGACACCTGAAATACCAGTGTTGTCTCAGGTGATGCCAGAGAAACATTCTAAGGGGGATGGCAGTGCCCAAGAATTTCATAATAAAATTGGAATGGTTTCTACAGGATCATGACCTGGGTAGTGCAAGGAAGAGGTACTCACAGGCAGGGATACTCTTAATCACCAGGATTGGCTCTGTAGCTGTGTGAGAAGCTGCAGGATTCAACAGTGCCCAATAAACAGCTCTCAGTTGACCAACCAAGAACTGCTGGGTTTGTGGATGGCGTTTGCAAGATGAATGGATGGTGTCCAGTAGGCCGCTACTTTGATCAAAGAAAGTAAGAACAAATCAGCTCAGTAGGCTGAACTGTGTGTTTTCCTAGCAGTGATGGAAAAACTGAACAATAATAGAAACTCCTGTGCCTGGGTTTTTACTGATTTGAGGGCAGTGACCAGTGCAGAGATGGGCTAAATGTAGACTTGTTCCTCTTGCACCCTTGCAGGCGCACATACTGTTTTTTGTCAGCAAGAGACAGAGATTGCTATCTGGCCGACTCCCTGTTGGGGAGCACAGGTGACAAGCCAGACTGATGTGGGGCTATAAATGGGTCTTGACAGAAATAGATATTGACTCTGGACTGGGCTTTGCTTAAATGAAGGAGGATGAAAATCTTCAGAACGCCATAAAAACAAACAACACAACAAGCAGAAGATATTGCATGGGTTTGGATGGCCAACCATTATTTCCTTTAGATGAAGGAAAACATTGCATAGCCCATAATGTCCAACAATGGGCAGAAAGGTGTTCCTCCTCAGAGTAAGTTTGCTAGAGAAGTAGGAAGGGCAATTAAAACACTGGTTGTCTAAAATGGGGAGATGAAGGGCTGGCAGGGGAGGAGAGCGTGGGGAGGATGCTGATATCCCTAGGCAATTCTTGCCAAGGGAGGAGTACCCTGGTATAACAACTACAGTTTTTTCTTTCTTTCCCAAATCACCTCAAAACATTTTTTTCTTTCTTCCTCCAGATACAGTGGTCCTAGGACCAGGGCTACAACTACAAGTGATAGAAACAAGGATGATTTCTAAGCATGAAACTGTAACAGTGTTTTTAACCTAGCTCAGAATTCCTAAGGGCCTGATGGGAGTGGGTTGTGTCTTCACCCCATCTAGCAAAACTGGGGCTAAGAATAAATAAATACAGCTATAGTGCCTTTTGGTAGAAATAGCCTATGAGCTAGTATCTATATAAATGGAGTGGACTCGGGAGAAGCCTCCTGCTCAACAAGTATTGCTGTCTGCAATCCAGACCAAACATAGTGGCTGTTCTAATGTCCCTTCTGAAGGTGAAAAAGTTTGGGTATTAGTGGAGAGGAGGAGAAATAGTAGCTGAGGGTAAAGGAATCAACAAATGGGTTATAAGTTAAGGGAAATCCAACATTACATTCACATCTCAACAGACGACATTGTCTCTTCGCTCAATTATGATAGATGCCTTAAAGAAGGGGTCCCCAGGCCCTGGGCCTCAGACAAGTACCATTAGGTACTGGGCTGCACAGGAGGGGAGTGGCCAGCAACCAAACAAAGTTTCATATGTATTTACAGCCACTCTTCATTGCTTGCATTACCGTCTGAGCTCTACCTCTTATCAGATTAGCTGCATTAGATTCTCACAGGAGTGCAAATCCTATTGTGAACTGTGTATACGAGGGATCTAGGTTGTGTACTTCATATAAGAATCTAATGCCTGATGATCTGAGGTGGAACTGAGGCAGCAATGCTAGCGCTGGGGAACAGCTGCAAATAACATTAACAAAGAATATTAGCAGTGAGGTTTGACTGCACAGAAACCATAAGAAATCAATTGCTTGCAGACTCATATCAAAACCCTGTCAGTGAGTGGGCAAGTGAGTTGACGTATTTCACTCGTACAACTGCATCTGGTGGCAGGCTTTAAGTCAGAATCTGACACTTTAGTCCACACATAGCCCACCCATAATTTTATTTACCACTTCTGTCCGTACCTCTATTTTTTTTTTTTGAGTTGGAGTCTCACTCTGTCGCTCAGACTGGAGTGCAGTGGCCGCTCCCGGCCACCGCAGCCTCACCTGCTGGGCTCTGGCGATCCTTCCGCCTCAGCCTTCCGAGTAGCTGGAACTACAGGTGTGTGCTACCACGCCCGGCTAATTTTTTAATTTATTGTAGAGATGAGGTCTCACCAAGTTGCCTGGGCGGGTCTCAAACCCGCGGGCTCAGGCAATCCACTCACCTCGGGCTCCCAAAGGTGTGAGATTACAGGCTGAGCCACCGAGCCCAGCTCGTACCTCTATTTTTTAATGATGAGTTGTATAATTCTTTTATTATATATTACAATGTAGTGATAATATAAATACAATGCACAATAAAGTTATGGGTTTGAATTATTCCAAAACCATCCCTGCCTCCCCGGTCTGTGGAAAAATTGTCTTCCACGAAACTAGCCCCTGATGCCAAGAAGGTTGGGGGCTGCTGCCTTAAAGTGTGAAACTGTGTTTGCCGAGAACATTCCTGCTTTGAAACCGGACGTTGAAAGGAAGCCTGCAATGCTGAGCAGACCCTCCCAGGGAGACATATTCACACATACAATGATGGACTGGACTAATTATTTATGTTTGAGTTGGAAGTCTCACTTTGTTGCCCAGGCTGGAGTGCAATGGAACGCTCGTGGTCACTGCAGCCTCGACCTGCTGGGTTCACGTGATCCTTTCGCCTCAGTCTTCCAAGTAGCTGGAACTACAGGGGTGTGCCACCACACCTGGCTAATTTTTAAAATTTATTTATTGTAGAGACAAGGTCTTGCCAAGTTGCCAAGGTTGGTCTAAAACCCCTGGGCTCAGGCAATCCTCTTGCCTCTGCCTCCCAAAGTGCTGGGATTATAGGCATGAGCCACTGCACCTGGTGGACTGGACTAATTATTAATGACTGAGTAGAATTTTAGTAATGTGGCAGTATCTTTTGAATTTTATGTTCTTTTGTTATAAAGGGTCTGTGGGGGTGGCCAGTGTTGTTATAACATATAGATATTGGTTTTCATCCATGGTTCCTGGCTCCTAACTCCCATAGTTCTTGTTATAATGTTGGGGCTGTCTAGGCCTCAGGATACAAAATCTCTGACTTTCTCTTGTCTTCCTTTTACCTGCCCAAGGAAGTACTCTAATCTGACTGTGGGTTAGGTGACCCTCATTCCAGAAAGGGTCCATCCCCTTACCTTAGAAGGAATATTAGAGAGAGGCCAAGAAAAGTCTGGACAGACAGGTCTTGCTGGGGGGTTTAGATTATGTGCTTTCTGTCCAATCACATTTCTACATGGTTGTCAATCACCTATGTCATGAGGCTTCCATAAAAACCCAAGAGGACAGGGTTGGGGAGCTTCTGGATAGCTGAACACACCAGCTATCCTGGAGGGGAGTGCCCAGAGAGGGTGTGGAGGCTCTGTGTCCGTCTCATGCCTCACCCTATATATCTCCTCACCTGTATCTTTTGAAGAATCATTTATAATAAATTGGCAAACAGAAAATAAATAAAATACTTTTGAATACTGGAAGAATGTATTTATGCTAAATCTTTATTCCTTTGTTTTAGAAAGCTGTACATTTTTTTAAAATCTGCAAGTATAAATAATAGAAAAAATATTACAATCAAAATTTTGTCACCAGACTTGGGAAAATATGTACTGTAAGGAATTCACACAAGTTAACAGAGGCTTAATTTCATATAAAAGAAAGCAGAAACACCAGATTATAGCTCATCCAAATAGGCCTGACAATTTCAAATGGAATACAGTTATAATATTAAATAGCTTACGTTTAGGATAAGAAAATCTAAACCTGGCATCTCTCTCTCTCTCTCTTTTTTTTTTTTTTAATTTTTAACCACAGATGTCATAAAGAGAAATATGAAAGGTTAGGCAGCTAAACACAGGTGAATAACAGAGCTGGGATCCCGAGGAAGAGCGCTGGCCTTCCCCATCAAGCATCACTTAAGGTGTATGGGAAGTGATTTGTCTGCCTTCCATGTGCAGGAAATGAGAATGTTTGGAGGGCTGTTGCCCTCCAGTATATTCATTGGGATGCACTGTTCTAGTTGGCTGTTTTCAGGGGGGTCTTTCGGAGGGACCTCCTACTGGGGGCTGGGGTGTCTTTGTTCCTGACTGGAGACTTCACATTCCACTGCTGAGGCTGTGGGGGCCTATGGAAAGAAGGGATCCAGTCATTCTGGAACTAAGATTCCTGACAAAAACATCTACCTCAACAGGTGCTCCAGTAAACTTACAGTTTATCAGGTGGAGATAAACACAAGATGTCATTTCCTAGGCTCTGGGCTTCAGCTTTTTCTGAAAGAGAGTCAGACAAACAAATTCACTTTTCCCAGAACTTCAAAGACAGTTAATGATCTGCCCAGAAGGAAAATGAGAACTTGCCTTTGACTGATGAAGGAGTCTGTGGTGACCCTATGTAACTGAGCCCCGCTCCAAATGTGACATCCCTGATGGTATCTGCATAAAAGGAAGACACCAATGTTAATTAAAAGCTGGTAGGAAACTGCATGAAACACCATCACTGGAGTGTGTCAGTCAGAGCATCTGCTCTAGTTTTCACACAGTGAGACCTGGGTTGGACCTTGTCCCAGGACACGACAGCGTTAAGGGCTCTTTTCTCCTGGGAGTCTCCCTTCGTTCTTTCCTGACTTCCTTTCTCTTACCTTGATCATCCTTAGGCTGTTCCACTGGCCGCTGAGAGCCTGCTGCTATTCCCCTCTGGTTTCTCCCAACGCCATACCTTCCATGGCTGCTCTTATGCTAGCGACCCTGACTCCAGCTCAGCCCTCTCTCCTGAATCCTACTTCTATACTTTCTATTGTGCCTCACCTGGATTCCCTGAGGACATTTAACTCATTACCTCTGTTCCTCAATCAATGCCTTCTGTGTTCCTAGCCTATAAATGATTCATCTAAGCTGGAAACATGGCACCATGTACTGTTCCTCTACACACAATCAGTAAGCAAGTCCTGGCAAGTCTATCTCCCACATATCTCTTCCGCCTGCTGCATCAGGCACAGCTCAGTCGCCCATGGTCTTTCACAGCACCTTCCACCCATAGCCTCCCCTTCCAATTCACCCTAAGGAGGCAGGAGAGCTCAGTGTGTAGGAAGCAGATTCCAAAGCAGACTGGGTGTGAATTCTGGCTATGTGTCTTCCAGGTTCTGTGAGCTTCTCTAAGAACCTCAAGTTTCTTCATCTCTTACGTAGGGATAGAAACATACTACCTCATAGGGGGAGTGGTCAAGAGTAAATGAAGTTATTTATGTAAAGTGTTTAGTGCAAAACTTGTAAAAGGTAAGTGCTGAAGAAATATTAACTACTATAATGTACTAGCTATCATCCCCTATGTCAGTGAGTTATGTTTAGTTAAGAAGCTGGTAGGCTGAGCATTATGGCTCCCACCTGTAATCCCAGCAGTTTAAAAAGCTGAGTTGGACCGGCCGGGCTTGGTGGCTCAGACTGTAATCCCAGCATTTTGGAAGGCCGAGGTAAGTGAATTGCCTGAGCCTGCAGGTTCGAGACCAGCCCTGGCAACTTGGTGAGACCTCGTCTCTACAATAAATCATAAAAATTTGCCAGGTGTGGTGTGCATCTATAGTTCCAGCTACTTGGAAGGCTGAGGCGGAAGGATCGCTGGAGCCCAGCAGGTCAACGCTGGGGTGTTGCACTCCAGCCTGGTCAATGGAGTGACTGCAACCCAAAAAAAAAAATTTAAAAATTAAAAAAAAAAAAAATTAAAAAGTTGAGTTGGGAGGACTGCTTGAGCCCAGGAGTTGGAGACCAGCTTGGGCTACATAGCGAGACCCTGTATCAACCAAAAGTTTAAAAATTTGCCAGGTGTGATGGCTCATGGCTGGGAGGCTGAGGCAGGAACATAGCTTAAACCTAGGCGTTCTAGGTTACAGTAAGCTATGAATGCGCCACTGCACTCTAGCCTGACAGAGCGAGACTTTGTCTCTAAAGAAAAAAAATAAAAATACTAAAATAAAGCTGGTAAAGCTTCTGCCCTGCTTAGATACTTTCACAGCTCTGTCTTCCAAGGGGTCCACCCTTGGCCTAAGTGTTTACAAACTCACTCACTACACATACACACACATACGCACACCCTGCTCTGTCACACCTCTGTCTGCACATTCAGCTACTCTACACACACCTCATCTGACTACACACACTAGTGGTCTTGGAGAGCCAGATGGCTAGCCCTAGCCCAGGCTTCAGTTTCTCTGTGGTACTGTGCATGCTGCACAAGCTGCTATGAGCATGCTTCTCAGGAGCAGCACGGGCTCCATAGCAGCATGCTGAAGCTCACTGAGCCTGCTGATCTTCCTGCAAGCACACATATGTGAAGAAGCTTGAGTGTTCTTCCACTCTCCATGTGGCATGTTCTTATGAGTACAAACTGTATCTTTCAAGTCTACATTACAAGGCTCACTGGCGCACTGCAGCACTATGTACCTGGTACTTAAGCCTTGTTAATATATGATGGTGGAATTCTATGCTCATCACTGCCATGAAAATTACTCTGTCCTGCCTGTTCCTGTTTCTGGGAGGTCACTCCTTGTGCTGTCATTTGAAATTCCCCTCCTTGCACACACATTGCTCTTCCTGTTTGGAAGCCTGTGTGCACTCCAGGTAATAAGTCTCCCAGCTTTATAAAAGCACCAATGTGGGCGGCTCTCACATTTCCAGTGCCCTGCACTTAGAATTAAGCACAGAAGCATCTGTGCTGCCTGAATTACAGCAGCAAGAGGGACTTACTAAAACCCCCCACAGATTTTCAGATGAAATCCTAGCTCTAAAAATTATTCATCTCCATTTAGCAAAACCACTTTGTTCATTTTGAATACCATCGGTGTGCCACAAAACTGGGCTGGGGAACATCTTTCCTACTAGTTTTAATGAACTGAGACACTTCCTGACACCCCCACCTAAACTTACAGTGGTCAAAATAATCCACATTTATAAAACACAAAGAAGATAGAACTGAGTGCTTTTTTGTGTGTGTGTTGGAGTCTCACGCTGTCGCCTAGACTGGAGTGCAGTGGCCGCTCCCGGCCACCGCAGCCTCGACCTGCAGGGCTCCAACGATCCTTCCGCTTCAGTCTTCCGAGTAGCCGGAATTACAGGCATGCGCTA